TCGCAGCCGTTGAATAATGAAAAAGCCGGCAGATTTATAAACGCCCGTTTCACACCGTCGTCGAGTTATCGGAAGTCGGTTGCTAAATGACACAATCCTTAAAACCCCGCTTTGTTCCATTAACCTGCCACGATTTTTCCACGTGTCATTCTTTTATTGATTATTAGATCGATCACGCTTTATTGCACTATCAAATATGTATTTTAACTATTTCTTAATTGTTTGACAAAAAATTCAAAATGGAAATCGATGAATAATCCGAAATGGATGAAATATCTCTGTTATTCCTCCATTTTGTTGCCTTTTGGGAACGGTTTTTGCTTTAAAAATCCAAAAAGGAATAAGTATTTTAATATAATAAGATATTATAGTATTGTGATTTTAAGATACGCAAAAGATTTCGTTAGATAGTAGATTTGTGCAATCTACAAATAACAAAATACTATGAATTAGGAGGCTAATGATAAACTCACGTGTACGTAATAAACAGATTATCTGACATAGATTCCAAGTTTATACACGTGTTCGTCAAATCCAAATGTCACACATATCATCAAGAAAATAGTACAAAACACAAAAGTTACGTTTCCAATAAAATACACTTCCGTATCTGAGATTTTGCTTTCTGCTACAGCAATGAACATAACAAGACTTATGGGTTTCGAACTTTTAAATTGATGAATAATATGCATATTAACATTTTAAAACGCCAATGGTTACGAATCAAACAACAAACCAAACATGAGTGTTAGGCCTTCTCGAAAGTGGAAATAAGTCACATCTACGAAAGAGACATGTAACAAACTGTCTAAAAAAAAATTAAAATACTACGGAACAATGAACTATGAAGAATCGGCGACTGAGGAGGAAGATGGTCTCACAAAATGCAATCCAGTGTTGGAGAATATAAACAGAAACCAATCCACTTGACAAATAACATAGTCGTGACAATCCAAATGGTCTATTATCTGATCCAAATATTTCCAAATGGATCTTGTCCTGTGCAGGCATAGGAGTAGACAAGTGCCACGGCTTGTTGGCGGCTAAACAGCAGTCGAGCACTCTGCTGCTGAACTCTCGAGAACGAGACGATCATGGAAGTCCACAGGATTGGATGGGCTAAACGGCAAACTCAGAGTCTTTTGTGTCCTTTTCTGGCGCTGGTGAACTCTGACCCTCGACAGTGAAGCGTCCCGTGAGCTCATCGAAGCTTCTTCTAACGATAGCAATGCGGTCAACATCCTTACCAACCCGAGCCGCGCAAGAGTCCTTGTAACGTATGTAGACAGTTGCATTTTGGGTAAAATTGAGTCCCTCCACTTGCGTATCAAAAGCCAGTTTGACCATCTCGAAGCCATTGGTCAGATCGTGGCCCTCGTGCCTATCAGTCATAGCAACTGCAAGTCATAGCGTTGCAGCTCTGATGCATCCGGCTGCAAAATCAAAAGAGTCATTCATAATGAATTTGAGCAAAAGCAAAAGTGATTCATTCTGAAGGAGCAACATTCGTACCATGTAAAATTGGTTCTCTGGCGGCCACTTAGGCAAGGCAAGTTGGTAGGTCTGTTCTTCAAGATCATCACCTAATAATAATCATACATACAGT